GTGCCGGTCTAATAATAAGTGCCGGGAATGCAGGTCAGGCGCCTGCAAATCCCGTTTGCATCCGTGGGCCGACGCTGGCAAGCCCCAACAGCCAGAACTTAACCCGTGTCTCCCCCAGCCCTGACTGGATGTGGTGGGGACAAGATTGGTGCATCAGCCCTGGAGCGGTGCTGCTACCCCTGCATCCTCCCCTCCATCCCGCCCCTCTTCTTCCTCTGTCCCCAGCTCTCCTTGCTGCTCTGCTGTTTCCTAGCTGCCTATCTCCATGCTTCCACCCATCCATGCCTCCACGCACCCATCCACCTATTCATCCATCCATCCATGTACTTCCATATAGATCCTGCACCCTCTCTGCTGCTTGATCCGTCCTTATCCACCCTGTCTGTCTGGCTATCCGTGCATCCATCCATGCATCCATCCATGCACCTGTGTATCCATCCTCCACCTTGTCTGCTAGTTTATCCATCCTTATCTAGCCTGTCTTTTTTTCCTGGCTATCCATACATGCATCCGTGTCTGCATCCATCTACCTCCTACCTCTTTCCCTCTCTCCATCCCTCTCCTCTGTCCCCTCTGCCTTCCAGCTGGACGTGGCAGCGTCACCACATTCCCCAATGAGGCCAACCTTGCAAGCCCTGTGGCTGCAGGTGTCTCCCTCCACCTGAATGCCCAAATCCTGGAACATCCCTCTCTCCCTCCTCTCCATTCCGGAGTCGCAGCCGGGAGGAAGGCTCCGGGTGATGGAGCCACAGTCGGGAGGAAGGCTCCGGGTGCAACGTGGCGCCACCTCCATCCACCCGGCACCCGCGGGCGCAGTGTGGCCAGCCGGGCGGCAAGCAGCTCAATTAGCCCCTCTCCTGGCACCATTAGTTTATGGCCGAGGAGCGGAGGCGCCTGTCCCGTCCCCGCTCCGGGCGACAGATTAGAGCGTCATTTAAATGCATTTTGTCTGCGAAAGGAAATAGCCTCTGTGGGTGCCGGCGCTGCAGCTCGCGCTGAACTCATCCTGACCGTGTCATTAATCTGCAGCCCCGGCTCGGCCCCGCTGCCTCCTCTTCCCGCTCCGGCAGCGCCGGGCGCGCCGGCCTGTCCAGGCTCGTCAGGGCTCCGTGGTGCGGACACGTCCTCCGTGAGGACATTGCGACAGGAGGACACGGCACCGCTGGCCATGCCGTGAGGGTGCCTGGCACCTAAGGGTGCTGGCGCTGACACCGGATCATTGGACACCATTTTGGGTCCCTATCCTACTCATGAGTGGATTTCCGTCTACTTTTCCCCAAATACATGAGATTTTGCAGGGGGCGGTGCTGGAAATCCTGTACTGCCAAACGTTCCCTTTTTCTCTGCTCCCCGTGCGTTGTTCTTCCTTGCTGGGATTTCCCGCGCGCGGTTAGTCGGTGAATCTTTTCACAGCTCGGCTTTGCGGCGAATAAACCCACGTGCAGGAAAAAATCCTCCCCCCTTCTCATTACCACGAGCGGCAGGAGCAGCCGCGGCTGCGTAAACCAGGCCGGGCACGCAGGAGGACATAAAGCTTCATGCTTGGTGGCGGAAAGCAATCTGAGAGCCGGAGGTGAGGAGAAGGCTTTTCTCACCAGCCACTGTTCTTGAAATCTCCTACGGGCAGTTGGGGCGTCTTGCAGTGCGAGAGACCGCCCGGCACGGTCCTAGGGCTGCACGAGAAGGGCGGTTTCCACCGTAGGTCCTGCACGAGAAGGGCAGTTTCCACCCTGGACTGAATACCCTGAAGTCTCCCCGCTCCATCTCCAGCCCCTCAGAATGATGGTGACACCCCTGGGGACTCTGCTTGCTCCCAGCTCCTTGTAAATATCCATTCCTCATCCATCAAGGAGCATTTTGATCCGCTGGCTGCTTGTTTTCATGGAGGATATAGGGCCTTGGCAGAGCAGCCTGGTGTTCTTCTGCTCGCCAGGGAATTATTGAACTAAGGACTGTCCCCTCTTTGGGGCTTGAAGGGGCAGGGGGACATCCAAGGATTGTGGTGGTGGGAAGGGACCTTGGGAGATTTCTCCTTCTGCCACCTCCTCTGAACTGTGGAGTCAGCCCAGGTTGGTCACAGCTCTTTGGGCTTTGAAAGCCTTCAAGGATGGAGATCCCGCCTGGAGGAATCTCCACGATGGAGCCTCCCAGGGATGGAATCTCTCAGGGCAAACTGTCCTGGTGCTTGATGGTCCTCATGGGAAGCAGCTTCTCCTGGCACAGCCTCTCCACGTCCAGCTTGTGTCCATGCCCCCTCAGCCACAGGCCACGGCAGAGCTTCAGCTCCAGGGCTGCCCTGCTTGGAGCCAGGTTGGGGACTCCTTTTGTCCCATGGCCTGAGGAGGATCCCAGGCTGTGGCGAGTGGGAATTACATGTGGGGCCAAGTGCAGATGCTGCTCTGATTTGCTCTGCCTGTGGATGCGGCAGGTTTAGGTTCAAGGGCTCCTCCAGCACCACTGTTTTGCACCTGGTGTAGGGGAGCTGCGAACGAGAGCATTACAACCATCCTGGCCACAGAGCGGCTGCAGGAAGGGGCTGCACCCATGGGTGCCTTTCAGTGCCCAGAACCTCTCCCACAGCTCTCTGGAAAGAAATGAGATAAGAGACGAGATGGGGTCAGCATCCGCTGGATGCGCCTCGCTTGGAGGACATCTAGGAGTGGACACTGCTGGAGGACGTGCTGGGCTGGCACCGGGACCTGCCGGGATGCCGGCAGCGCTGTGCCGTGGCTGCTGGGCCGGGGGATTTTCCTGCCTGGTTTTCCAACAAGTTTTATCCCGGGCAGCGTAACCACAGATGCTGTTCGTGCTCGTATCAGCTGCTAATCCTTTTATGAGCCTTTCCAAGCCGCTTACGTGCCCTGTGTCCTGAAGCATCATGTTCTGCTAGACGGCGGGTCCCGGTTCCCGTTGGCTTCCCTGCCACTGCAACCTGGAGCGCTCCTGGATGCTGACCAGAGGCTGCCAAGAACTGATTTTCCTGGCTTGGGAAATCCCTAACCCCCAAAGCCTGGCGGCTGTGAGGGAAGGATACCCCATCTGGCTGCTTGAGCATTCCCATGTCTCCAGGTGGGAAATCCCGCGGGGATGGGCGCTCTCAGAGATGGTTCTGGCCCTGCTCCTTGGGTGCTGCAGATCCCGCCCTCTCTTCCCTGTGGAGACACCGGGTCTCTGCTGTGGAAGGGACTGGGGGGGCTGAACGGGGCACGTGGCTGGACCGCTGCTGAACTGTATGGCCACGGGGACACCCAGCACCCAGGTCTGTGCGGAGCAAGACCAGTTAGCCCCAGTGCAGCCAGAGCCTCTGCCTGGGTGGCTGCGAGGGAGCCCACAATGGTTTCTCTGCATGCGCCGTGCCCTGCTGGGAGAGGCTGCAGGACCTCGGAGCAGGTCCCAGCGCAGAGACACTCGTCCCCTCCGCTCCCTGCAGTGAAGCCGCCGGTGTCTCCTCCCCGCCAGGCGTCTGGCTCTGCCCGAGCGTCGAGACAGCACCTGGCCGGGGGCAGAGCCCGTCCCGGGGGGCCGCGCCGCCGCATCCGCCTCTTTCCCCGCTGCTTGACACGTGTAATTGGGGATGCTGCAGCTCCTGTTGGGAAGCCGCCGCCGGAGCCGCTTGGGAGCGGGCTGCAATCAGCGCCGGGAATGCAGGCGTGCGGCTTCTCGGCGCGCGGAGACAGGAGCTGCGGGAGGGGGGCGGCGGGGACCCGGGAGTCCTGGGAATTGCTGGCAGTCGCAGCAGCTGCAAAGACCTTGAGATGTCTTGCGGGTGCCTGCAGTAGTAGTTGGATGTTTGGGGCTTGGTTCGAGCAGGTCTTGGCTGCTCCCGCCTGCTTCCAGCCGTGGAATCAGGCGGCTCGGGATTGGTGTCAGCGGTGGCACTCGTGTGTCCCCTGGTGTCCCTGCCAGGTGTCCCCAGCCTGGTGAACCTGAATCTTGGCCTCCTGCAACTGCTCCGCTTGGGTTTCTTGCAGCCACATGAGGCTGCCCGTGGGTGTCCGGCCACGCGAGGAACTGGCTCCTGTGATGGCATTTGCTGGATTTTCTCCCCTTGGGATGAAATAGGAGCAAACCCCAAAGATGCAATAGCAAACCAAAAGAGATGGTGCTTTGATTTCCATCAGATCTGCAGCGAGGAAGACGGAGGAAGTAATCAGGGGGAGCAGCCTGCCGGATCTACCCATTTTTCCTCTTTCTGGGGAGAGGAAAGGACCGTCCCTGTTTCTGAGTGGAGGAAACTGAGGCAGGGAACCTAAGGGAGTAAGCTGGGATCTTATGGAGCAGTTTTGGTCCTTGTTGAAGTTTTTCACCCATGTGATAACATTTTGACCTTAACAGATTTCCTTCCCGCAGCCCATTTCAGTGGCTTCAGGTCTGCCTGCCTCCCTGGGTTGCAGCAATATCCTCCCCATCGGTTTTGCACAGGGCCGTGCCCGTGCTTGCAAAGGGGTAACGAATCCCCTGAAAGGTGGATCCGTGCTGTCGATGGGCAAACGGATTCTAATTCTCACTGTTTAACTCTGAGGCTTAAAGAACAGCAGGGAGAAAAGATATCCCTGTTATAAACGTGCCCCCTTCCAAGGGGACCAGCTCCTGGGGAAGCCTCCTGCCCTCCAAGCTGGCAGAAAGCTGCGGGGTGAATCGGGATGCCAGGATGGAGATGGCTTTGGGGTCACGTCTGGATTTGGGGATGGCGCTGAATTTGGTTTGGTAGCAAATTGGAACTTGGTTTGGTGGCAAATTTGACTTGGTTTGGTAGCAAATTGGAACTTGATTTGGTACCAAATTTGAATTTGATTTGGTAGCAAATTGGAACTTGGTTTGGTACCTAATTTGAACTTGGTTTGGTAGCAAATTTGAACTTGGTTTGGTACCAAATTGGAACTTGGTTTGGTACCAAATTGGAACTTGGTTTGGCTGGCGGGCTGGGCCACATGCGGGGGAGGCGCAGGGCGGTGCCGGGGGACGCTCCGCGCTAACCGCTGCTCCGCATCCCTCCGCAGCCGCGGCTAGGGGGGCAGCGCCCAGCCCGGAGCCGGCCGAGCCCGCCGGCGCGGCCACGCTGCCCGTCAGCTACCGGCTCTCCAGCACGCGCCTGGCCTTCTTCCTCAAGGAGGTGGGAGCCCTTCCCGGCGGCAACGCCAGCACCCCGCTGCAGCGCGCCGAGCCCTTCGTCGTCTTCCAGACCAAGGAGCTGCCCGTGCTCAACGTCACCCTGGGGCCCTTCAGCACGGGGCTGGTGCTGCCCAAGGAGCAGCTGCAACCCTCGAGCACCCTGGAGATCCCCGAGCGCCTGACGGTCAACTGGAAGGTCCGCGCCTTCATCATCCAGCCCCGCGTGGTGGCCAGCCAGCCCGTGGTCCAAGTGCTCTTCTACGTGGCCGGCCGGGACTGGGACGACTTCGACGTGGCCGACCGCCTGCCCTGCGTGCAGCTTCACGCCTTCCGCGATGCCCGCGAGGTCAAGAGCTCGTGCCGCCTGCGGGGCAGCCTGGCCACGTGCTTGGTGCAGGCGGAGCTGCCCCACGCCTGGTTCGGCCCCTCGGCTGTGCCCCTGGGCCGGCGCAAGAGCCCGGAGAGCCTGGAGGCGCCGGGCGAGAGCCAGCAAGCGGAGCTCTACTACACGCTGCACGCGCCCGGCGGCGCCGGCGAGTGCCCGGGTGAGACGTCCCCGCGGCGCGGCGCCGGGGCGGCCCGCGCCGAGGGCCCCACGCAGCACCCCTTGCTGCGCATCGGCAGCATCAGCCTGCTGCAGCCGCCCGCCGCGCAGCTCCTGCAGGAGCACCGCCTGGACGGCAACGTCTTCATCCGCCTGCCCGACAGGCCCCTCAAGCCCGGGGAAGTGCTCAGCATCTTCCTCTACCTCATGGGCAACTCCACGGTGGAGCACTTCACGCTCAGGTAAGGGTCTGCTGGAGCTGGTGGCTTGGGGATGTTGGGGGCTTCTTGTGCTGCTGCAACCCGTCTCCACCCCTAAAGCCACCCCACCGTGTTAGGGTGGTGGTTGTGTTGGCCCAATGCAAAGGCTTGTTCCTGTGGTTGGCATCTCCTTGGGATGCGAGGAAGGGATGGTGTGTTGTGCCTTAGAGCTGTGAGGGCTGCTTATTGCCAATAGAAGACTCAAGCCACCATGGGCCGATCCTGACTGCTCTCCACAGGGTGAAGGCCAAGAAGGGCGTCAATCTGCTCACCACCAAGTCGAGGAGCCTGCAGTGGCTGGTGACCTCAGAGCTGCTGACAGGTGGCAAGCACTCCACGGCCACGGTCGACGTGTCCCGCGTGGACGGTGCTGGGCCCAGGTAAGGCCTCATGAGCATCGATCCTTCATATTGGTGATCCTAAGCCCTGGCAGGGATTTTTGCTTTGGTGACGGGATCTTAGACCCCCCAGGTGATCTGGTGGCCTCCTTTGCCCTGGTCATGGCAGGGGATGCTGTTTTCAGCAATGTTGGGGTCAAACCTTTTCATTCTGGCTAATACAGATGGTTTTAAGTGGGAAAGCAGCTTTTGGTCTGTGCTTAGGATATACTCTGCTCCAAGCGTTGTTGCCTGGAGGCCAGTGGTGCAGGGATGTGGATGGCTGCACCCGGGTACCAAGGGGTCTCTGCAAGCCGCAGCTCGTGGTTCCTCACCACCATGGTTGACCAGCTCACAGTCTGCTCCACCACACATATGACTATGCTCTGGGAGCCCAACATAGGGTCCAGCCTTCCCGGGAAACCCCAGGGCATCTCCAAAAAGGGATCTCCAGGCTGCATCATGTGGTGGAAGCCCCAGCCTGTCGGCATGAGGACCTTAAGCCCCTTGAGATGGGGCAGCATATTTCTCCACTTGCAGCAAGGGTGACAAGGGCCTGTGAGCAATGGGACCATCACACTCCAGCCGCTTTGCAGGTGGTGGAGAGCTGCCTCTCCCCATCCATCCACCGGCCCCAGGCAGCACGTGGCTGCCGCGGAGCCGCTTTGTTGGGCTTGCTCATCCCAGGCGCCCTCCCAGGGGAGCCTCCGATAAGCTGCCGTGGGCGCAGATTTTATTTTCCTTTTAATTAAAAGCTGCGCACAGGATTCCTGTGGGAAGGGGACAACCAGGTGCCAGCAGGAGATTGTGCAGCCTCAGTGCAGACTGAGCTGGGAGCAAGGCCAGTGCCGGTCCAGTGCCAGCGTGGGCCAGGGACACCTCCAGGTCCACCTGAGAGGGTGTTTGACGCCTGTTTGTGGTCAGGCAGGTGGATGCTGCGTGGTGGCGTTGTTGGTGCCATCCTCCCTGTGCACTGGGACAGGAGCAGGGCTCAGTGCTGACGTCTCTGCTGGGCACCACGGTGCTGATGTCTCTGCAGATGTGCCCGGTCCATGAGCGGGTGTTGTCAGATGCCTGTGGGCACCTCCTGTGGGTTTGAGGGGCAACCAGAAGGCCACAGAAGGTCACCTGGTCGGGGTCCTCTGACCACACTTGGGTCGGTTGAGGAGGGCTCAGGGGATGGAAATGAGAATGATCTAAGGGAAAGGAGAACCATGAAAACAGGTGAAAAACATGGAGATGGATTATCCTGGGGAAGCAGAGGATGAGGAGAGGATGAGGAAGCAGAGGGGAGCTTCTCTGTGCAGGAGAGGGGAGCTCCATGCATCCATGGGGATGAACATCCATGGGGATGAACCCAGTGAACAAAGAGGACATGGATGCAACATGGGGTTGCATCGTAAGCAGGATTTCTCTGAAGCACTGGAAAAAATGATTCCCAGGCTGTGACATCTCTATCGCTAGGTATTTTTGGGCACCGGGGAGACGGATGTCTCCAGGAGCTGGGTCGAAGCTCCTGCCCACCGAGACACGGAGCTGCCGAGGCTGCTCCCGTGCGCCCGGGGCGGGATGGTGTCCCCGTCACTGGAGGCAGCGGAGCAGCCTCTGCGGCTCTCGTGTTGCTGTGGGAGGTGAGGGCTGGCCTGGGGAGGAGGAGGAGGAGGCACCTGCCTTCCTCCCGGCTCCTTCGCCTTCCCCCTCTCCGCGTCTGCGGCAGATTAAAATCAGCCTTGAAAGGTTAGAGACGGCAGATGAATTTAAAGTGATTACAATCACCTCTTAGACAAACAACTCAATCAAATATTAACGTCATGCAAAGTATGAATGACTCAAGCCCATGTTGCCCTCTGGGCCTTGTGGCAATGAGGAATTTGCCTTTCCGTGGCCCTTTGGGCTTCTGGCACTGCCAGGCGCGTTTGGAGATGATGTTCCCATCACAACCTTGCAGCCTTGGGCCATTCCAGCTGGAGGAGGGCAAAGCTCAGAGGGTTCAGCCAAATAAACGGAGATTTGGGGTTCTCTCACACTGGACAAGCATCTTAGGAGCAGTGCCAGGGCGCTATTTGGGGCAGGGGCTTAGCTTGTGCCCTGCGGCGGGGATGTGGCATTGGGAAGCTGTAGTCCAAGCAAGGTCCCTGCTGCTGGCTGCCCTCCATCCATCCGGGAGGGTTTGACTTGCAGGAGCCGGCCGAGGGAGCAGCCCCGGGGCAGTAAATCCAGCCCTGCTGCCGGGAAGATGCTGATCGGGAGACAAGGGCAGCACTCGGCCGGCCCCACAGCCGGGACCGTCCCCTGAGGCCGCTGACAACTAACCGTGTTGGTCACATCCAACGCGTGGGGCTCATCTATCACCGAGCAGCCTTTGCAAAGAGCAGGCTTTTGCTAGCCAGATATTTCTTCTGCTAGGGACAGGCACAAAAAACATAGCGGGGTTTTCCTTCCTCTTTTCCCACTTCTGCTTTCCACTGGAGTGGTCCGTGGCTTGGCGTGTGCGGGAGCAGTAATTGGTGGTTGATTTGCTGTTCCTCTGTCCTGGGTTTGGGGCTGTGCCATTCCTGGGGTGCCCAGGATGTGCTGGCCTTGCAGCGGCGGAGGCACCACGAATCCCGGTGCCTCCTGCTGCTTGAGACGGGCAGCTGGGACCCGCCGGAGATGCTCCGCATCGCTAGACGGCACTGTCTGTGTGTCCTGCAGGCTGGCTCCGGTCCCGGGGCGCCTGCGGGACCTGCCCCAGCGGGCGCCCAGCTGAGAGCGTCCCCCTCCTGTCCCCCTTGCCCAGGGATGGGGACTCCTCTGCTGAGATCATGCAGCTCGACTTCGAGATGGAGAACTTCACCAGCCAGTCGGTGACGCGCCGCATCATGTGGCACATCGACTACCGGGGCCGCAACCCACCGCCCGACCTGGAGAAGGTGGTGACAGAGCTGACCGTCATCCAGAGGGACATCCGGGCCATTGTTCCTCTGGCCATGGTGAGTGGATAGCGGGGACTCTGCATGCTCCCCTCCTGCTGGATGCATCATCCAAGCTTTCTGCGCTCTCCAATATCCTGCATGCTCCTTCCTGGCTCTTTGCCATTCCCTGCTTGGAAGAGACTGCCAGCTTTGCTTTTTTCATGCTGTTGATGGAGGCCAACCCTCTGACTTGGCAATACATCCCTATGATCTCAGTGATCCGTGGGAACCTTGTGTGCCTGCAAGGCACGGGTTGGAGATGGGCTGGCTGGCAGGTGCCTCCTGGGGGAGGTAGGCAGCCCATTAGACTGACTTTCTGCTTTGCACAACCTCCCCAGGACACAGAAATCATCAACACGGCCATCCTGACAGGCCGAACAGTGGCCATTCCCGTGAAGGTCATTGCGATTGAGCTGAGCGGGGTCATCGTGGATGTCTCGGCTATGGTTGAGTGCAAGTCCAACAACGAAGACATCATCAAGGTAGGTGTGTGAAGGGAGCCAGGATTGGGGTCTCATTAGTGCTAGCAAGGAACCCCATTGCCCTGGGGTGACGCCTCCAAGGGCAGGTTCGAGATGAGCTCTGGCCTCCCTTCCATCCCCTTTTGCCTTTCCATGGGCAATGTGGGGAGGAAGAACAGACACCCCGTCACTGCCTCCTGAGAGGCTGACGGATGCTCTGATGCTGAGCATGCTGCTTGTGGGCAGTGACAATAACTATGGGTTATCAAGGCATTTATTACTGATAAGGCAAAATATTGCTGCAATGCAGGGCAAGCAGCACGTTTTTGTTAGCTGCTTTCCTTGTGCCTTGGGGTGCCAGGTAGCTCCCAGAAGGACTGGACCCCAAATTGGCTCCGGCTGGCCGATGGCCCCGGCACTGCAGCTGCCCCCGGGGTGCAGGTGGTGGGTGCTGGGCCCTGGTGAGGGGCAGGGCTGGCGGCTGGGACCGGGACTGGGGTCAACTGGGGCTGCGAGGCTGAGCTGCGTGCTCAGGGAGGCTGCGGGGCTGGGGGACGGAGCAGTAAAGCGGCTGGGGAGAGGAGCGGGGTGGCTGTGTGGCAGGTGCTGGAGGAATGCAAAGGTATCTCCGTAGGGAGCACCCGTCCAATTATCCATCTTAGGTGGGGAGCATCAGTCCTCACATCCATCCATATATGTTTTTCTATCACCAATCGTATCCATATATCCATCCACCTCTATTACTCTATTGCTTTATCCATCCATCCCAAAAAAATCTTCCCTGATTCCCACCATACCCATTGCGGACCTTGCCCCAGACCCAACCCTGGAATTAACCACAGACCTTCCCTGGACCTTACTTTGGACCTAACCCTAGACCTACCACAGACTTTCAGATCCAACTCAGACCTTACCCCACATCCCACCCCGGACCTGATCCCAGACACTGCCCTGGACCCCAGCCTGGAAATACCCCAGACCTTACCATGGACCCAACCCTGGACCAGATCCCACCCCAACGTTACCCGGGACCCAGGCTGGGCCGAACCAGGCGCACAGGGAGTACAGCTGGTGTCACAAACTGTTTATCCAGGTTGTGACTACAGCTACAATCTGTGCGATTTACTGTGCCGGGCTCTAATTTATGGAGACCGGTTCTCTGCAGCATGATTAAACACTAGAGCAATAATACACTTCAGGATGGACTTCAAGACACTTAAGCTGTTTAATGTGCTGCCTTTCTGCTCATAAATCTATTTGCACACTGTCCCCAGACCTGGGGGTAGCAGACACATGCACACAAGTGGGGATGAATAATACATGGAGCAGTGCTCCAGCCCCACGGCTCCCTCGCCTCCTGCTTTCCATCTGAAGCCCCTTGCAATTTCCTTGCTGAGTTATTTGGTGTTTGTGCTGGAGATGCGTTTCCGAGGGAGCTTTCAGTTACCTGCTGAGATTGGGCAGTGTGATTGCGGTGTCAGGGCTATAAACCTGTTACATAAATCAAAGCTTACGTAGTGGACTCTGCTATCTGTTACTGTAAATAATGCAGCGTTAAGGAGGACTGGGGAGTGGCTGCTTCTCTCCATCCCAGCGGTGATTCGACAGTTGCTCCTCTAGACAGCATGTGGACAGGGCAGCACAGGGACCGTGGTTAAAGGATGGAGGGAAAGCACAGACATGATTTGTGACCCCTGTCCCTTCCATGGTGGCACATGGCAACTCATCCCAGGGAGAAGGACTTGATCGTTCAAGGTAGCATAGAAATAATGCCCGTTCCTTGCCTATACCATGGCTTTGGGGACTCATGTGCACCCAAGGGACCTGCAGGGAGAGAAGGGCCACCTCCAACTGCAGCGAGACTCAGAGATGCTCAGCTTCACCAACTGTTTGAGCCTTGCTTGGGAGCCCACTGTTGTCTTCACGCATCTGCTTGAAGACCTGCTGCAAACATATCAGCTGGATGGTCTGGCTGCAGCCTTGGAGTCCCAGATCATCACCCGGTCTCCAGTGGAAAACGCCAATGAGCAAACACGGGATCCCACCAGCTGTGATGAGTCTTCCCAGCCCCAGGGGCCCTAAAGAGGACGCATTGCCTCCATACTGCCCTTGAGTATATAGACCATACTGAATGAGGAGCTTGGAGCAGCTCCTGGCCATGGGAATGGAGCTCTTGGTGCTTGGCTCAGTGCCCGGGGAGACCTCAGCCTCCTGCTTACCGATGCCTTGCTGCGATTCCGGGAAGTATCTCCGAACAAGCGCTCACTTCATTTAAAAGCTAATCTGCAGTCACTCCATCATCAGGACAGGCCTGATGTGCTGGTATTTTTTGTTGTCATCTTTTTTCCCTCAGCCAATTGAAAAGCAAGTGGCCCCCAGAACAAGACTGCTGGGGGGATTTATTAGCTAAGGTAATGCAAGCAGCAGCCCATCATATTTATTGTGATAAATGGCACAATATCCAGAGTACTCCTTTGCTGGGGGATTTGCCCAAGAGCTCATCTTTATTCAAAGGCCGCCCTGCCAGAGCTGAGCTCGGCTTCTCGGGCATGCTGAGCTGGTGTCTATCTGATATGGAGGTGACAAACAAACCCTTCTGCACTGCACGTCCCTCCAGCCACCCGCCGAGTGGAGGCTTCCCAAAGAGCTCTGGGCTGTGGCCTCGGTGTCCTTCGCTGCTTGTGTGGCCGCGACAGCCCTGTCACCCCAGGGAAGGCTCGCAGGCACTGCCAGCCTCACGGGACCGTGAATGCACCACGGAGGGACACCACGGCCCTGAGATCTTGTAGGGCTCAACCCCTTATCAGCCATCAGAGAATCCGTATGGGAGAGCAGCTGCCCAGCAACAACTGTGAAAGACAGTCACTGTGCCGCTGGCTGAGAAAATGGATCTTTTTTTCTTCTTTTTTTACAGCTGCAAACGATTCAAACACAATTTCTGACAGAGCAAAGGGGAGAGAAGGGTCAGAGTTAGGCCCGGGGCTGCTCCTGATTAGAGGTTTAAGCCTCCCTGGGCTGATTCTTGTTCCAGCCTTGCTGGGAAGGAGGAGATGTCATTGACTCTGGTGCTCTAAGACGAAACACAAGCGATGCTTTAGTCGCTTCCTCTTATCTCCTTAATTGGCTTGGATTGGCCGGTAATAAGTGGCCCCCGCAGGACATATTTGTTTTATAGCAAATTTAACTAATAGCATTTGCATAAATGGGAATTAGAAAAAATAGCATTTGCATAAATGGGAATTAGAAAAAAAAAAAAAAAAAAAGAGAGAGAGGGAAAAACAGAGAAAATGAACAACAGGCTTCAGACCATTGGAAGCTGAAGCTCTTTTGGAAGCTCTTCCTTGCATGGACATGAGTGATGGGCACAGGGCCACGGCCCCCTCCGTGACACCCAGTTCGTGGCAGATCTGCGCTCATTTTCTGTGTTTGACTGTTGATAATGGGGGATCTTTTGGGGGTGGTGCTTATGGCGAGCATTTTGCAAGTCCTGTGGTCTTGGCTGAGACGAAGGGGCAGCCAGGAGTGCTTCTAACTTGAGCGTTGTGAGAGGAAAGAGATGTGTGCAGGAGTCCAAGAAAGCTGAAGCACCAAGTGAAGGTGCTGAGCTGGGGCCTGGAGAACACCAGGACCAGAGGGAACATTTGTTGCCGGTCTTGTTTATGGGAGCCCACTCCTCACAGCAAGGATTTGGGAGAAGAGAAAGTGCCACCTCTCTTGGGCTGGCCTTTAAGCGGGTACCTGCCTAGTATAGTCCTAATCCTCCAAGATGTCTCATCCCTCCGGACAACTGCTTTTGTAGGATTTGTGTGATTTCTACTGGCATTTTGCAGTAGGAATGTGCATTTTTCAGACCCCATCTCTTTTCTCCATCCCTGTGCCCAGGTCTCCAGCAGCTGCGACTATGTCTTCGTCAGCGGGAAGGAGTCGCGGGGCTCCATGAGCGCGCGGGTCACCTTCACTTACGAGCACCTCTCGGCCTCGCTGGAGATGACGGTGTGGGTGCCCAAACTACCCCTGCACATCGAGCTCTCGGACGCCCGGCTGAGCCAAGTGAAGGGCTGGAGGGTGCCCATCCTGCCGGACAGGAGGTGGGTGCTGCACCAGGGCCCTGGCTTTGGTTCGGTGCCCCGGTGCGAGGGAGCTGTAGACAAGCTGAAAGAAGTCCAGGGGAGGACCATGGAGATGGGTGCTCGGGTGGAGGACACACCGGGAGAGGCTGAGCCATCTGGGTCTGTGCAGCCTGGACAAGGCCAAGTGGAGAGGGGGCAAATTGCCCTTTTCAGCTACTTGATGAGGCGGCTTTAAAGATGATGGAGCCAGGCTAACCTCAGAGTGAAAGGCCTGGAAATTATGGATAGAGGCTGCAACAAGGGAATTTGCTGTTTGGATGTAAGGAGAAAGAAATCACAGTGAAGGTGGTCAAACCCTGGAGCTGGTGAGGAACCTCTGTCCTTGGCAGCGGTCAAAACTCACCAGGATAAGGCCAACTGACCTCAAAGCTAGCCCTACTTTGAGGTCTAGAAACCTGCAGGTGTTCCTCCCAACCTGAATTATTCTGGCTGTCTGCTGGCTGGTGGGTATAGATCCAAGCTATCCACTTCGCCACATGCTGGTGAAGCCCTCAGAGACCTTGTAGGCAACAGGTATCTTTTTGGCCAACCCAAACTGGAGCAACCAGTTGTCTTCCTGCTTTGGGAGGTGCTGCATTTCTCTGCAGTGTCTCATCCCTCTCTGCTCGCTCATCCCTGTCCTCTGCCTGGGGACTGAAGAGCCGTGGAGAGGGTTGGTGGCGCTCCCCACCTGCTCCCATGTCCCGCAGGTCCGTGCGGGACAGTGACCACGAGGAAGATGAAGAGGAGAGGAAGCAGAGCCGAGGCTGTGCCTTGCAGTACCAGCACGCCACGCTGCAGGTCTTCACCCAGTTCCACACCACGTCGGCAGAGGGCACGGGCCAGGTTGTCACCATGCTGGGGCCGGACTGGCTGGTGGAAGTCACGGACCTGGTCAGCGACTTCATGCGTGTGGATGACCCGCGGGTGGCCCACATGGTGGACAGCTTCACGCTGGCTGGGAGGGAGCCGGGCACCACGCTCTTCAAGGTACATCCGGGCCACCTTCTGTGAGCATCTAGTTGGATGGGGCCAGGAGAGCACCAGGGAGGGGGGCTCCACCATTGACAGGTGCCCTTGTCCCCTCTAGGTCGTGTCCCCGCTCATGGAAGCGGTGCTGGGCGAGACACTGGTGACGGTGGCAGATGAGAAGGTCAGCATCACAGACCTGAAGGCCCAAGTGATCTCCAGCCTGTCCCTCTCCCTCCACCCCAGCCCTGGCAATAGCCACACCATCATTGCCAAGACGTCCGCACAGCAGACCCTCAGCTTCTTCAAGCAGGTGAGGCAGGGGGTGGTGGGGCTGGCCCTGGGTCTCAGGGGTCCCAGCATGTGCGCCAGTGGAGGGGGAACCCGGCATGGCACTCGGCATGGATGGGGACCTTGCTTGCAAAGCCGCTTCCCCAAATCCTGCGCAGGGCTTTAGAGTCTCAAAGCTCCCCTTGATCCCGGAGCTTTTGCTCCATGCTGAGCCCCTGGCATGGTGATGGGAGGAAGCAGAGCTCCGCAAACTGCCGCTTAATTAAATGGAGAAGGGGCTGAGCATCTGAATCAGCTGACACCAGGAGGGAGGGACCCGGAAACCTGGCTGTGCCCTGTCCCAAATCCCTGGCATGCTCTCAGAGGCTTGATCCTGCCTGAGAGAACATGCAGATAATAGGAGAGAAAATTAGGTGAAAATTAGGTGTGAAGATTAGGTGAAAAGGATAAAACAGGTCAGGTTTGGAAGGAGGAAGATGAACTGATAAATGAATGGAGAAAAGGAGAGGGATAAAGGATGGATTTCATGGATGGAAGAATGAGAAGCAGGAAGGGGGGGGTGTGGGTGGGCTTGTATCCTGCTGGGCAACTGTTGGCTGTATTTGTCCTGCAGGAAGCGCTCCTCAGCCTGTGGATTTCCTACAGTGATGGCACCACGGCCCCCCTCTCCCTCTATGACCCCAAGGATTACAACCTGGTGGTGACCAGCCTGGATGAGAAAGTGGTCTCAGTAACCCAAGACCGGCCCTTCCCCTTGGTGGTGGCAGAGAATGAGGGCTCAGGGGAGCTGCTCCGGGCTGAGCTGGTCATCTGTGAAAGCTGCCAGAAGACGAAGCGCAAGAGCGTGCTCTTCACAGCCCTGGCCAGTGTGCGGGTCCACTTTGGCTCCGAGGAGGACCCAACCTACGACTACGACCACGTGCCGAGCAAGCCGGGGCAGGAGGAGACAGCGGCAAGTACCACCCTGCGGGCAGAGGTGGAGAGAAAAGCGGAGCCAAGCGAGGACAGCAGGATGTCTAGTGCATCTCACCCCACTGAGGACTTCCCTACCATCCCCACGGGCTTTGTTCAGGTGACCAGGGGGCTGACGGACCTGGAGATAGGCATGTATGCGCTCCTGGGTGTCTTCTGTCTGGCCATCTTGGTCTTCCTCATCAACTGCATTGTCTTTGTGCTGAAATACCGGCACAAACGCATCCCGCCAGAAGGTCAGACCAACATGGACCATTCCCACCACTGGGTCTTCTTGGGGAATGGGCAGCCCTTGCGGGCTCACAATGACCTCTCGCCCCAGCCTGAGAGTCCTGGGAACCCCTTAGAAAATGTCCAGACTTGCTGCCACGGTGACCACCACAGCAGTGGGAGCTCACAGACCAGTGTGCAGAGCCAGGTCCATGGCCGCGGGGACGGTTCCTCAGGGGGCTCCACACGGGACCAAAGCGAGGACCCACTCAACTCACCCACCTCCAAACGGAAGCGGGTGAAGTTCACCACGTTCGCCACGCTGCCCTCCGACGAGCTGGCCTACAACTCCATCCCCATCGCCGACGAGGAGGACTTGGAGTGGGTCTGCCAGGACATGGGCCTCCAAGACCCCGAAGAGCTTCACAACTACATCCGCAGAATCAAAGAGATCGCTTAACGCAGGGGCAGAGGGGCCGGGGGGGGCCGGGGCCGCCACGCCACGCCGCACCAGCTGCTCCGGGGGGCTGGAGCCCCAGGCTCGGCTCTCGTGTGTGTGTTCTCTCTTTCGCACATGTCACATCCTCCTCACCCCGGCTGAATGCACCCCGCACCCCCCCGGCTCTTTATTCTTTACGTGCCCTTTACGGTTTTTATTTTTCCCAAGGGGAAAGCGCTGGATCTCTGCCTGGCGGGAGGAAGCAGAGGGAGCGGGAGGCCGAGCTGGGGGTGGAGGGTGGATGCAGGTGCCCCAGGGGGGCGGGAATGGGGGTGACCGGCCCTGCCAGCGGCCCCACGGATTGGGACAGCCCTGGAGGAGCTGGTCCTCGTCCCAGCTGAGTGCCTGGATGTGCCCGGGGGCGGGGCTTCCCAGCATGGGGCGTGGCCTCACGCGCGGGGGCGTGGCTACAGTACTGGTGTGATTTATCAATGAAGGGGTGTGGCCTCGCTCAGGGGGCGGGGCTTATCGTTTGTGGGCGTGGCCTCTGGTGCCAGCCTGGCTCCCGGGGCGCCTCGCCGCGCTCTGCGGCACCGCCGCGGGCTCCGCGCGCGCTCGGGGCTCCGCCGCCCTCCTCGGCTTGGGGCCAGGGTGGCGCCACGGGTGGTGCCCAGGCGCCTCCCGCCTTGCCCGGCCTGAGCGAGGCCCAAACGCGGGTCCCACTGCTCCAGCGCCAGCCCCGCGGTGCCTTCTGCCGCCCTCGGCCTCGCGCCAGGCCCGGCCTCCGCCCCCTGCCTGCCCCAGAGCCCGGGGCTGCTGGGCTGGTCCCACTCGGAGCATCCCCTCGGGAGCATCCCTGAGTCCCGGGGGACTCGGAGCATCCGGTGCCCGCCATGGGCACCGCCACGGCCAGCGGCACAGGGGCAGGCACAGGCTGGCGGCAGCGGCTCCTTTCGGCATCGGAAGTTACCCACCACTGTGTCTATTTTTTTTTTCTTTCTTAAATAAAAGAACAGAAAAAGAAGTCAAAGCGGAAAGCCAAACCAAACGGCCTCGCAGCACTGTGACGAGCTGTATCTCTCGGTCACGTTGCCCGGGATCCGGATGCTCCTTTGGGCTCGCTGGTGGCGCTGGGGACAGAGCAGAGGCCGGGTCTGGCTCAGCGCAGCCCGGGCAGTGCCCGGGGCACCGCCGGGTCCAGCCCCGCGCACGGGCACGCGCGGCCTCGGCATCGCCACCGGCCGAGCACTCGGGTTTGCATCCAGCCCTCCCAACCCAGATCCGGTTCCTCTTGGAAAGAGAGGCTGAGTGGGGTCAGTGCTGCCTCATGAGTGGTCCCCGTGCCTCAGTTTCCCTCGCTGGAAAGCGGCTGCCTGCGGCGGCGTCACAGCCTCTTTAAAGGGTTTATCACTTTCAGGCTATGAGAATTTCTCCCCCAGCGGCCTTAAAACTTACCGGTTAGCTCTATGCTCATTTGATATATACATATACATATATATAAATATATATATATGGGGGAATTGGGATACGTGCAAAGACCAGTTACATTTTACTGTGCCCTGTTATCTGAAGGACCCAGGTACGACTGAACGAGCCACTGATCCAATAATAATTCTGAGCAGTAAAATTAATACAGCCGAATTCCCTTCTTGGAACTTCCAAACCTCATCGTTAAATTAACATATATGAATATTTGTTAAAAAAAAAAAAAAGAAGAAAAGGGGGGGGAGTTAAGAAGAGTGTATAATAAAATTTTATAATTGTAATAAGACATGCCAGTGCCGACTCCTGGTCCCTGAGCACGTTCCCGGCTCTGCAGTGGGACTGACCAGTGGCTGGGAGATGTGGGGGTCCATGCAGCTCCTTCCCCTGGCTGAGTCCCCCCTGGATTTTCCCCCTTTTTTTCCCTTTTCCCATGATTTTTTTCTGGGACCGGGTCCTCGAGCCGTCCCTTCCCAGCTTGGCGCTGGCTGCTCTCCCGCTGCCGTCTCCAGGGGCTGCAGCCGGGCCCAGGATGTGACACGGAGCATCAGCGGCCGTTTTCCAGCCCATCAGTTCCCATCTCGGCTGATGGATGAAGTGGAGGGCTCCAAGCGCCCTTGGGGAACCAGCGCCGCCGCGCTGGGGAACTGGAGCTGCCGGCAAGGGCTGGCGCCGGCTCCGCTCCCACCGGGGTCACCCAGATCCGGCAGTGCCGATGTGGCCACGGGTGCCAGATCCCCAGCAGGGACGAGATGGGGGGGGCTTCATTTGGGAAGAGGAGAACAGAAGCTTCTCCGCGTCCCTATAACCACCCATTACTTCTATATAAAGATGTGTGTATATGTACGCAAACAGGTACACACATACAGCTAGAGCTATATAAATGCATATATATGTGCATATGTATGCATATACATACATGGATACACCTGTTCAAGATTAATGCAAACCTGCACAGGAGCTTATGTGTGTTTTTTGTGTGTATTTATACACACAAATACACAAGTGTTTGCCCCTGAGCATCATCTTTGACAGCAATCCTTAAAAATGCCCCCCTGGTCATTGGGACGCAGGGCCAAATAACCAGCCAAAAATTTATGTGGGCTCCTAACTTCTCCTAAGTCTCTCAGGGAGGAAGCAATGAAGAGTTCTAGGGAGCAAACCCCAGGCAAACGAGGTGGGTTTTGCACTGAGATGATGAAGCTCCTGCTCGGGACGTTGGCCCCGGGCTTGCAGGGTGCCCACATACCTGGGCACCCGCTAGGGAGCCCCCAGCCAGTTCTCAGGACTGGCATCTTCCCTCCCATTTCACTCCTGCTCCGGTAAAAAGAATAATCCTTGTTCCTACAGTGGCCAAACGTCCCTTAAGGGAAAAAAAAAAAAAAAAAAAAAAGGAAAAGATAATTAAAAAGAAGCCTCTATTTCAACTCCCCTCTCGCTGTGCCCTCTGTTTATTCTACGCTGCCTTTTTGCTGTTTAGCGCTTTACTATCTGCTCCCAGCAGGCAGGGACAAATTTGCATTTTAATGCGGTGTTGTGAGGCTGCACAAAACACCTGTGACTAGGCAGAGCCTGGGGATGCAGCTCCCGTCTCCCTATTTATCAGCTCGGGTGGCTGCCTTTTAAACAGACGCCTGCCTGGTTCAACATCCCCCCTGCTTTGCCCCCCTTCAAAGCTGTCACCTTCTTGTGAACTTAATATTTTGCTCAAAAAAAACCCCCCAGATATAGCAAGGAAAAAAATAATCGAACCTCATAAAGTATCTCCTGCCCATAAGACAAAGTGAGAATGGGCAGGGAGAGAGGAAAAGAAATAGGGATATTCCTGCAGGGATGCTGCAGGAGAGAGCCGCTCACTTCTCCCTTCTGGCCCCACAGGCCTCCCCTTTGCAGCGGGAGGCAGCAGACCTGGCGCCAGGGTGAGGGGCTGTGCTGGCTCCCGCACTTCCCAGCCACGGGAGAGGCTTATTTCCTGGGAATGGGAGTGAGAGGCATCTCTCCAAATGGACATTTTATTGCTCTGCCATTATCACCTGGCTCAGCAAGGAGGGACAAAGCTCAGCCTGGGGCTGGGAGCACCGCGGGCGACTGCTCTGAATCTCACAGGGCTCCACATCATTGTTAGGCTGAGGAGGAGGAGGAGGAGGAGGAGGAAGGAGATCTCATTGGAGAAGGAGGAGGGATGCCAAGGCCCAGGTGTGTTGTACGGGCACTATCTGGTGAGCTGAAGATGGGCACTGCTTCAGGTAGGGTAGCACCAGGGAAAAAACTTGGACTCCTCTTTATAAGAGGGATCTTTATAAGATCTTCTGGGTTTAGATCCAGAAAAAAAAAAAACAAAAAAAAACAAAAAAAAAACAAAAAAAAACCAAAAAACAAACAAAAAAAAAAAACAAGGAAGCAAGGGGGAATGTCCAGGGATGAAGGATTCTGAAGCCCTGCTATGAGTTTCCCAGCATCTTGAAGGAATTTCCTGGGACTTTCTAGGGACTGCAGGATACAGAGCCAGTCCAGGACTCCTCAATCTGGAACCTCACTAGGACATTTTCTGCTTTCCAGGAACATCCTGATGCTTTCTAGGAACTCCGGGGCCTTTTGGGGATTCCTCTGTGCTTTCCAGGAATTTCCTGCAGCTTTCTCCAAGTTCCAGAATCTAGAGCTGGTTTCCAACCCTTGGCTGCCAATGTTGAACAACAAACTGCAGCAAATCGATAGCTGATTAAGTGGTGCTTCGAAGCCCTGTGCCTGCACAAGGCAGCGGGAGACAACCTGGGGCACAAAATACTGATTAGCACCTGGGGAAAAGGTTTTAATTTTCCAAGCAATAGCCACGGAAGGAGATCTGCATGCTGATGGCCCGTTTTCCAGTCTTACATCCCCTTTTCTTGATGGAAATCCCTCTCGCAGCTAAAAGGTGGGCAGCGAATCCACTGCCGGAGTGATTTGTGGCTGCCTCTGGGAAGGAGGCTCCTCTGTGAGCAGAGGAAATTCCAGCACATCCCGTGGCTTCCCATCCCTCCCTCTGCTCTGCACAGCACCCAAGGGTGATGGGGAGCAGGGTCCTGCAGCCCTGCGGTACCCCACGCAGAGCATCACTCCTGTGTGAACACCCGGAGTGTGGGCAAAGACACCGCAGCCAAAGCACCTCATTCAGCAACTTGTCTGACCTGCATTTGCACATGTCAGGAGAAGGGGAATCCATCACTCCTTGGGCCTGTCGGCTCCCCTTGCAAATTGCCCTGGCACATAATAAATTGCACCTAATTTCTCATTTGAATTGCTCTGGCTTCAGCTTGCAGGCAGCGGCTCCCGTCAGGTCTTTGGGAGGTGAAATTTGCCTCAGTTCTCTCCTGCTTCCCGCCAGGAGGCAAAGAGCAGCAAGTCCTTTCCGTCCCCCACTGGCAGCGATTGCTTCCGGCCTGTGGGTCATCTCCAGGCATCTTCTCTGCCTCTCTTTGCTGCTTTCCCAACAGTTTGAAATCCCTGCCGCAGGCAGCTGGGGCCTCCAGCACCCCGTATGTCGAGCTCCCCTCTCCTCTCCTCCTTTGCACCCCGTGATCCGTCTTTGCTGCTTCCCAGGAGCAGCCTCTTCAGCCCCCTTTATCTCAAGTTTCACTTCTTGTTCCCTTTCCCTGCCCTTGCATTTACATGTGCATTTAATATCCACCTCTTGAGATCATCTGCTTCTGGACTTCACTGCAAACCAGACCTGGGAGGGCCCACTGCAGCTGCTCTCCACCGTGAAAAGAAGCCCCATCACTGAAATGCTCCTCCAAAGCTTTATAAGTCCCCAAAATCTTCATCTCTGATCTCCTTAATTCCAACTGCCCCACTTTGAACTGCTTTCGAACCAGACTGGGGAGCATGGAGGGTTTGGGATGTGTCCTCACTCTTTTGAAGTCCATGACTTTTCCAAGAGGCAGAGCATGGGACGAGGAGATGCAGCAGAAACCTGGGGACAGAGAGCGATGGGACCATCCCTGCTGTGGCCCCCAAGACCTTCCTGGGAAAGCTCCATGTTCCCATGATCTGGTGCCCGCTGCACTCCCATCGCTGCCAGCCCAGCTGCTGCTTCTGCCTCTCGACACCCCGAGGTGAGGCTGGCCTGTGTTAAACTGCCTTCGTAACCATTCCAGAGATATTATCAAGATGTCATTATGAGAGGCAGATCCGTTTGAACCACCGCTGCATTTTAAACAAGCTTCATTGCTTCCCGTAATGCAAAGCATTCCTTTTCATTTCACTGAATCAGCACTGGGTGGGATAATTTCCCTGCCGTTAATTCCTGCCGCACTCACCCTGCCACCCGTCAGCTTGGATGGGCCCGGGCTATGGGTGTCCTGCTCTGTGAGGAAACGCACCAGCATGTTCCATCACACAGGGCTCGTTCATTATCCCCTAGGAAACATGGCATTGATGGACTCGTCGTGGATTGAAACCCAGGGCTATAAATCAGGATCAAGGTGTGTTGGGTTTTTTTTTCCAGCAGATTGACTCAGAACACTCATTTAGCCCATTTCCCTATACTCAACAGCCGGAGAATTTAACCTGCTGCACTATTGGGTTTTGATCCTAATGAACCCGCGTCAAGGGCAATCTCCAGCCTTTCAAGCACAGCGGTGGATAAAGCACCCGGCCGAAGCAATCAGTCAAACCGCGGCACGTGCCTCATGTGGCACAGCCAGGTGGGCGTGCCGAGTTTTCAGAGCCGATCTTTGGTGTATGATGATCCCAGAAGAATGGGAAAACAATCGGCAGTGTCCAGGTCCTGGCAGGGAAGCCAGCGGGGCAAACAGGTTGCTCTGTGTTAGAAGAAAGTCTCTTGGACATCCCCTCTGTCACTGCTCGTCACCATCCTGGGACATACTTGAAGGGCTTTGGTGGGCATCCTTGGACAGGACCTCGGTCCTTTCACTGGTGGCAAAGCCTTGCCAGCACAGAGCAGTTCTGGTGAGCGCCCTGATGCCTTTGGATACTATTGCTACCACCTCACGATCTCACAAAAAAAGGCTCTGGTCCCAGAGCCTCACCCTGTCAAGCTCCCCCGCAGAACTGCTTCATCCGTCGCTCCTTGCCTCAGTTTACCTCGACCATAACATGTCTTTCCCTTATCAAGCTGCTGGGTGATTGCGCCTCAGTGGTGGCTTGGGGCTGCAGTCCCAGGTGCAGCCTTCAGTGCTAATTAATTAATCAAGGCTTAAAATGTCAGCTTGAGCATCCGTGACCACTTAATGTGGCACAGTTCTGGCCGGAGGCCATCAGGCCCGTGCAGGCCGCTTCCTTCTGCCTCTGCACTGGGATTTTTTTCCCATGGGATGTCTCCAGCACAGCCTCCTACGCTCTGTGTTGGTGCTGCGCCTGCCTTCCATCTCCCCTGCCTTTGGTGTCCTCCCATGGGCTCAAAGGGGCTGATTCGCTCCAATTCTGTCCCTTGCAAGATGTGTTTTAGGAGGGTTCAAACTGCAGCCACTGAAGGAAATCCTGCACGGACCCAGACCTGTGCACGGAGCCAAACCTGTGCACGGAGCCAAACCTGTGCACGGCTCCAGCTCCGGTGCTGTCGGGCTTGCTTGCCAGGACACTAACGTCTCTGCGTGCCAGAACGCGCTTGCCCCTCACACCCCTACCTGTGGCTCCCCAAAAGCCACCAGTACCCTGTGGGGCTGCACAGAGGCGCTGGGGGCAGCAGAGCTCAAAATAACCACTGCAAATCCAATTATCCGAGGGTTAAGCACTCCGAAAGTGAAAACGGAGGGTCCAAACTGCTGAGCCAGCAAAGGCTGGGCGCCGATCAATGCCCTGGAAAACATCAGGCTTGTTCTTGGGAGCCCGGCTCTTTCTGTTGCGACAGTGAACGACGCTCAGCGCACGGGTCCCCGCGGAGCAGAGCAATGAGCAGCGGCTCAGTCCACCTGCCCTGCGCCTCTCGTGTCCGCTGTGAAAACAAACGAGGAATAATTGCTGCTCGCCGATATCGAACGATCCTGGGATCGTAAACGAGGAGTATTGTAGCAGACGGGAAAAACCACAGCTGCATTCAGACCGGTGTAATCCAATCACTGGTTTGTGGACTGAGAGGCCTCCAGGGAAGGAGAGGGCTTCAGTGGGTGGTCCCAAGTGCTGGATTCTGCATCTGCATCGAGGCAAACGACGGCTAAAATCATCCCAAGAGCTATACCGACAACACGGAGGGACCAGGAGCACAGAGCTGCCTGCATCTCGGCCCTGCAAAGCCCAAGAGGGCCCCCAACGTGGGTGGGAGCAGGTCCAAGGGACGCGGGGCCGGGCCGGGCAGCGCTGCGGCAGGGTCCCCTCCGCCCCTGTGGGGGACAAGGGAGGCTAAAGGAAGGCCAGCTCCCGCTGGGAGCACGTGGCAGCAGGAAGGTGGTGATGTCCGGTTTCACCAGCAAGGACCAAGTTGGGTGTGGGTTCTCTAGTGGCTTGTAAGGGTTGTGCTCCAGCTGCTGCCTTTCCCATGGGAAGAACCTGCATCTTCCCTTCATACTCACTCATTTTCCCTCAAATTCCTAGCATTTCCTGCCGGTTAAGTCTGTAGCCGCTGTATTCAAACTGACCAATAGGTTCCCAAACTACTAAAAACAGAGGCAGCCCTGTTGGGAGTCAGCATGTCCCCCTAAATTGCCTCTCCATTCTCCAAATGACTACAAGAGCCTGTAAAATGCAGGTTGCTTCAGTGGATTAGGCTCAGAAAATGTTGCCAAATAAGTAAGCAGGGAGAAAGTGCCCAACCCTAAACGCAGACAGAAGTGACAGTGGAAGAAAAGAGTATCTTAATGGGCATCTTGTTCACAGCTGCTCCAAAAGTCCTTCCGCGGCTTTGGAAGGATTCCTCAGTGCTCACCATCCATCACTGGATGCAGTTCGTGTCAGTGACATTCAAAGCTAAAAGGGGAGATGTTTCCAAGTGGATAAAGCGATGCAGAAAGCAGATTTGGAGGTGCTCAAAGTGGCAAACAGGCCGAGCAAAAGCTGCCTGGTGGGAGGAGCGGGAGGGAGCCGCGCAGGGCGGCACAGCCTGAGGGGCTTCCCTATATCCCAATGAGTTTCCCTGTTGTCTCCCATCCGTGAGACACCCTCCTTGTTCCCACCCCACAGGGCGTTCCCATCTCATCCCGCAGCAGCTGCCGAGGGAAGCCAAGCTGGGGCTGCTCCCGCCTCTGCTCCCCGTGTCCTGCTGCCCCGCTACTTGCTGCCTAAATAAGCACTAACATCCAGCAGCTCCAATGAGGCTTTTCATTAGAGTTCCCAGACGGCCGGCTAATTCCAGCATAAAAGGACACATATTGTAGCATTAGATAAATAGATAGCACTGGTCGGTGGGAGAAACGTGTTGTCGAGAGCCAGCCGGGGGAGATGCGCTGCGGTAGCTTGGGGGACAGTGGGGTTTTGGGGGGGCCCTGGAGGTTCTTCAGGCTTTCTGCCCCCTCTCCAAAGAAAAAGATGCCCTGGTGACTCTGTGTCCCGAGAGAAGGGAGTCCTCTACTCCAACACACTCAGCTCTTGCCCTTTCAAAGGCACCAATGTCCCCGGCCTCCTCAGTGGCCCTATGTTCCTCTCAGAGCCTTGGGCCTCCTGTGGCCACCAAGGACAGAGGCACATGGTCACCTGAAAAAGTCTTGCCTGGAGCTGCCACCAACACGACCCCATTGCTCATGTGCCCAAAGCAACCTCCATGCAAAGGCGAAGCAGGAGGAGCGAGGCAAGGAAGACACACAGAGACTCGAGACACAGCAAAGAGGAGATGACTCTTTTATTGAGGGGGGGGGGGGGCTGCTCCATTGTGTGGCGAAGGTCCACGGTTTGTGCGGTGGGCTCCTCATGGGCGGCGGGACGGACGTGGGGAGCTGCGGGCTGCCCTGCAGTGGCTCGGCCTCCTCTCCGGTCCTGTGGCACCTGACTGGCTGCTGGTGCTGGTCGGGGGAAAGAGAGAAAGAGCAGGGCAGAAGCGGGAACCGGAAAAGGAGAAGGAGGAGAAGAAGAAGAAGGAGGAGAAGAAGGAGAAGAAGGAGGAGGAGAAGGAGGAGAAGAAGGAGAAGGAGGAGGAGGAGAAGGAGGAGAAGAAGGAGAAGAAGGAGAAGAAGGAGAAGAAGGAGTAGTAAGATGAGAAGGAGAAGGAGGAGAAGAGGAGGAGAAGGAGGAGGAAGAGGAGAAGCAGGAGGGATGAGAAAGAGGAGAAGGAGGAGGAGGAAGAGGAGGAGGAAGAGAAGAAGGAGGAGGAGGAAGAGGGAGGAGGAGGAGGAGAAGAAGGAAAAGGAGGAAGAAGAGGAGGAGGAGGGAGGAGAAAGAGGAGGAGGAAGACAAGGAGGAGGAAGAGAAGAGGGAGGGGGACGACGACGAGGACGACGAGGAGAAGGAGGAAGATGAGGAGGAGGAGAAGGAAGAGGGGGAGGAGAAGTAGGAGGGGCACGAGGACGAGGAGGATGAGGAGGAGGAGGAGAGGCAGAAGGAGGGGAAGGGGAAGGAGAAGGAAGGGGAGGAGGAGGGGGAGGGCAAAGGGAGGGGGAAGTAGAGGAAGAAGACGAGGAGGAGGAAGGAGGAGGAAGAGGAGGAAGAAGAGAAGAAGGAAGAAGAGAAGGAGGAGGCAGAGAAGGAGGAGGCAGAGAAGGAGGAGGAAGAGAAGGAGGAAGGAGGAAGAAGAAGAGGAGGAAGAAGAGGAGGAGTCATGAGAAAAAAGAGGGGGAGGAAGCAGAGGAGGACGAAGAAGAGGAGAAGGAGGAAGAGGAGCAGGCAGAAGAGGAGCAAGAGGAGGAGGAGGAAGAGGAGGAGAAAGAAGAGAAGGAAGAAGAGGAAGAAGAAGAAGAGAAGGAGGAAGAGGAGGAGGAAGAGTAGGAGGAAGAAGAGGAGGAGGAAGAGGACGAGGAGGAAGAGGACGAGGAGGAAGAGGACGACGAGGAAGAGGAGGAGGGGGAAAAGGAGGAGGAGGAACAGGAGGACGAGGAAGAGGAGGAGGAGGCAGGGGAGGAGGGAGGAGGAGGACGACGACAAAGAGGAGGAAGAAGATAAGGAGAAAGAGAGGAGGAGGAAGAAGAGGAGGAGGAAGAAGAGGAGGAGAAGGAAGAGCAGGAGAAGGAATAGGAGCAAGAGGAGGAGGAAGAGGAGGAGGAAGAAGAGAAGGATGAAGAAGAGGAGGAAGGAGGAGGAAGAGGAGGAGGAGAAAGAGGAGGAGGAGGAAGGAGGAAGGAGAGGAGGAGGAGAAAGAGGAGGAGGAGGGAGGAGGAAGGAGAGAAGGAGGGAGGAGGAGGAGGAAGAAGGAGGAAGGAGAGGAGGAAGAAGAGGAGGAGGAAAGAGGAAGGAGAGGACGAGGAAGGAGAGCAGGAGGAAGGAGAGGACGAGGAAGGAGGAAGGAGGAAGAAGAGGAGGAAGGAGAGGAGGAGGAAGAAGAGGAAGGAGGAAGTAGAGACAGAGGAAGAAGAGAAGGAGGAAGAAGAGAAGGAGGAAGAAGAGAAGGAAGAAGAAGAGACAGAGGAAGAAGAGAAGGAGGAAGAAGAGAAGGAAGAAGAAGAGACAGAGGAAGAAGAGAAGGAGGAAGAGGAAGAGGAAAGGCTGGTCCCACTTCTGCCCTTTCTCACCTCCGCCGGTGTCTCGCAGCTCCTCCTCGCGCCTGGCTCTGGGCCAGGCCGCTGCGCTTTTAAGCCTCTCCTGGGCGCGCGTGTCACAAAGCAGCCCTGTGACACGGCAGCCTGGACACGCCCATATGTGGCCGCCCTGGGCCCCCTGTGACATCACCACCGTGTCACCAGGGCCTGGGCACCGTGCCACGGAGAGCCCCGAGCGCTCAGCCAGGCCAGGGGCCGGTGGCATCTGCAGCTACCACCTCCCGTGGCCAGGCTCTCCCGGGAACCAGTGCTTTAGGAACACCTGGTCCCTGGAATCCTCTTCATATCCCACATCTCCTAGTTTCCAGCCTGTCTAGAGCGTTTGGCCAACGTGTTGGCAAAGACGCAGGTGCCACACTTAGCGAGGTGGGACCCGTCGCTTCCAAGCACATGGAGATCTTCAACCAGTGTGCCATGGGCATTGAAACCAGGATTGTTCCAGAAACAGCTCCTGCACAAGCAGTTGTTGACTCTCCCTGTCCACCTGCTCCTCCTTCCTTAGCAGCAGGGTTGTGAAGAAAAGGGCCCTGGCCCTTAACTCCTGACACTGGCCCCAGGTCTCTGTAGTCATAGTTGGCAATAAAGTACCTTTGGTGCTCACATAAAGAACAAAGCTAGAGATCATTTAGTCCAAGCCCCCTGCACACACAGGTCACCTAGAGCATGTGGCACAGGCTTGTGTACAAGCAGGTTTTGAATAGCTCCAAAGAAGGAGACTCCACAACCTCCCTGGGCAGCCTGTTCCAGCGCTCTGTCCCCCTCAGTGTTTTTTTCCCTTAAGTTCCTGTGGAACTTGTGGCCCTTCAGTTTGTGGCCGTTTCCTCTAGTCCTTTTGGTGGCCACCACAGCAAAGAGGTCTCCCCATCCTCCTCACTGCCTCCCTTGAGGTTATTTATAGACATGGATTAGATTCTCCCTCAGCCTTCTCTTCTCCAGGCTGAACAGGCCAGCAGCTACAGCCAAAAAGATGTTGTTGATGCCTTATTTCTAACTCTGAGAACCTTCATTACTGAGAATTTATAAAGTTACTGGAAAACTACTGCTAGAAAATACTACAGCCCAGAGCACATGGCACCAGGATGTTTTCTCATCCTTCCCTATGGCTGTGAAAGTAGTCTTCCTCCTAACAGCCGCAGGGAACATTTTGTTTCATGGATCACTGATGCAGAGATAGAAATCTCAGCCCAATTACAGATGCATTTTCCCTTTCTCTCCTTCAAAATCTTGGTATATGGGGAAAAAAAAAAAAAAAAAAGGAAAAAACAAGGTACTTTCCCCAATCTCAAGGCTCAGTTATGGCAGCAAATACAAATCCAGGGAGACTTTCAGCTACTGAAGGAGGTAGGAGAGGAACTAGCACCTTCGGGTTACAAATCTTTGACCCATCCAACTCCCACTTCAAACCATGTCAGTGTAAAGAGGAGAAATCTTTGAACCAGAAATGAAAATGAAATGAAAGAACCATTTAGCTGCAGGTCAGCGAAAACTTTTTGCTTTGACAATTCCTAAATGTTTGGAGTTCAACCTTCTATAACTTCAGGCTGGGAGGACCTGTGGTTTTCAAGGTTCCCAGGGATATGTCGTTTAGCACCGAGACGCGAGTTTTCACTTGAAAAAGAAAACCTTGCAACAAAGTTTTCCAACATTTTAAAGAATCTGTTTTGTTTGGGTTTTTTTTTTTTTTGCTTGGTTTTGTTGTTTAATAGGGGTCCTGGGCTCACTCTGGGGACCATCTATATTTGGGTGTTTGAATTCTGGAAGCGAGACCTCATGGCTAGTGCTGGAGTATCCGTGCTGTGTGTCCTATCAGCTGCTCCACAAACTTTGTGTTCACTTGCTATACAGTGCTGGGAAACTCAAGGTGCCATCCTTTTCTATTTCCTTGGGATCCATCCTGGGATCTGCTCCTGTCCTGCAGGAGCTCCTGTGCCCTGGCAAGGTCCATGAGTCTCAACCTGATCTCCTGCTCTCTGCTCCGTTAAATCTGGGTTAATTCTTCTTCCTCCTCCCTACACTGTACCACACAAACCACAGCCAGTCCTCTGCAAGGGTTGGACATGCAACGCGATGAGTGACGGATCGGGAGAGCTCCAGCCATTTCTTTTCACTTTTCCTCTCGTCCCCTCTCTTCCTCCTTGCCCACCGCTCCCAGCACCGTGTGCTCAACTGCAAGGTAACAGCTTCAGTTGCTCTGGATTGCTTAATGAGGGACTCTGGGGTAAATCAATGATTCTGAATGGGATCACGGAATAGCAATTAAATAAATAAATAAACAAATAAATAAATAAATAAATGGAACTCACCAGTGGAAAGATGAGGGAAAAGGGCCAGGCTGATTCCATTCATTCTCTGCTGCCAGCAGGGAGCTGGTGGAAGGTCTGGGGCAGCAATGGGCACTGGAGGAGCTGTGGCTCGAACGAATGTGGTCTCCAGTTCCAGGCTGGAGCTCACAGCAAGCTCCTGCCTGCCTGGCATTGGTGATGCCAACCCCTGTGGTGGCTCCCTGGGCAGGTAAGCGGGCATGGACAGCAGCACGTGCCCGATGCAGCCACCGCTCATCTCTGAATTTAAGTTGCGCTCAGAACAGCCTGTTGGGCACTACCGAGGAACATATGAATTATCATGTTCTTAAATAGCCATTTTCTTGCTTTTAAGAGTTTAGGTTGTTGAAGTGTGTTAGTGGAGCGCAGAACTGCTATCACTTAGCAACCTCGCCAGTTTTGAGGATGTGAAAAGGAGTGTGGGGGTATTTTCTTCCTCCCTGTCCTGGAATTTCCGGTTTGTCTCAGTCTTGAAACTTCTGCGTGCGTGTCAGCAGGGAGAGTCAAAACAAAGATGCAGGCAAACAAAAGCCCCATTAAAAAAGTCTATAAATGGATGAATGAGCACTTCAAAGTCCGTAAACAGATGAATGAACACTTCAGGTTGTTCTCTCCTCTCCGGTTAACGCGTCTCACTCCCCGCAGTAAGAACCACACCACACCTGCATCGCCAGGTTCAAGGCAAGAGGTGGCCCTACCTCAGTGCCGGTCAAACAGCAGGGGCAGGATGGTTGAAGGGATGGATGGAAGGATGGATGGGCTTTTTGATGACTGTGCCTTCTTCATCCTTCCTCTGCCTGTCTGACTGTGTGGGTACAAGGCCACGGCCTGGTGTGGTATGGGGCTGAAAGGAGGCCAAGAGATCACAAGAGTTTCTGTTGCTCTCCATAGTCATTCCTCATCTTTTCCTCCCACATCTGGAGCTCCTTCCTCCAGGCAAGGCTGTTGCAAAGTGACTACAGGAGAGAGGTTTGGGACCTACACATGAAAGCCCAGGCGCAGGCCCTGGAAAAGACTGTGTTAGTTCTCGAGTGGCTGGGACTCAGTCAATAAATCAGCTCCAATTCCCTGCTGAGTGGAAAGAAGGTGAGCTACAAACTGCACTGAGATCGCAGAGCAGAGTCTCACACGGACGTGGAGTGATGTCAGGCTGGGTTTCGCCCGGAAGAGGGGCGCTGGATTCACGTCAAGGTGTTTGCTGTTTCACACCAGGCCTTCAGGCTGTCCCGGTTGGAAGCGGCGAGACAAACCTCGACGTGTTCCCCCAGAGACAGGGCCATGTCTGCTGCCACCAAACCAAAGCAAACGTGGAGGAGCAGCATCTAAGCAGACATTACGCTGGGGAGACTGCCCCCATGGGACATGCGGGTAACAGGGAGGTGGCAGGGACAGAAAAGTTCCAGCGAGGATGCTCACGGTCCCAGGTCCATCAGAGCCACCTTCCCAGCTCCATTCAGCCATCTGCCTCTCTGTTGGTCCCGCCACGACACATCCAAGCAGGAGATGAATCAGTCCAGCGCCGAATAAAGTGTCTGAAATACAGACCTCATTCTGCTTTAATAGGCCACTTATTATATCGAACAAAATGCTAAGGGACCTCTCCAAATACAGATGGAACGGGCCTTGCTATTGAACGCGATCCATATCTATTACACATTGCTAAAGAATGTCCCTAATAATTAATCGTCAGTTATTTAGGAGGCGAGATCTTGCCCATTACACACAATGCACAATTAGCTATATTTAAAAAGCTCTCTGCAGGGCTAGATTTAGCAAGCTCATCCCAACCTGCATGCAGTTAACTGCATGCTTAACTTGCAGAGGGTCCCATCATCTCACTGACTACAGCTTAAGCAAATACTTAAGCGTGTTGCTTAGTCTGCACCTGATTTACTGACTGAGTTGGTTAAAAAGGAGGCATAGCTCTGCCGACAGTTTAAGCTCTGGAAACGTGGTCAACAATAATTTTTATGAACGCAGACTGAGGCAACACATAGCTCAGGTATACACTGACATTATAAAGCCATCGGCTTTCAGGCAGTGGCAGCCTGTGGAAACGCCAGCGTGGGCCCACAAATGCCTTCTCCTGCAAAATTACAACCGGATCTGAGGGACAAAACCATCTTGGCGAGGTGATTTTGTCCTTGCAACACACACAAAATTCAGTTTCCCTCCCAAAGAACGGGGCTGGGAATTTAAGGACCACCAAATGCTGCGTTTCCTGCCAGCGCCGCAGGCTCTGCCTGTGTTTCTGGCCTGGCTGCAAGAGACGTTTTGCCCAGGGCAGCACGGAGGGCTGCTTCCAGCCCGGGTCCCACCGAGGAACACACAGAAAACCCACCTTGGGCAACTCCTCGAGCTGCCACCGGTGGCCTGGACAAACTTCGTGAGGTCTCTTCTTCTCACTTTCTGCTCTCCCCATCTGTAAATACCCAGAGATAGCAGCTGTAAAAGTACCTTAGAGAAACGGCAGCAGTAAAATTACATCAAGCCTAGGGGCTTAAACCAATTGAAGGATACATTTTCCAAGCTGATAGAGCTAAAGCAGCAGCAAAGCTCTTGTGCACTGAGCAGCCTGCAAACTTGGACCATTTTTTGCCCTTCTAACTTGTCAGGCAGCTGAAAAAAAAATCAAACAAGAATATTTTGTGACTCTGCCCATGAGGAAAAGCAACACGTCCCCGTGATCACCCAAAGCCAGGGGAAGAGACTCACCAGAAGCAAAAGGCTCTGGGAATCTCAGTGCATGGACAAGACAGATACAAACAGTGTCTTCTGTCCGTCTGTCCAGCTCCTTAGCACACAGCCCAACTCCTAGGGAGAGGGGCAGCATCTTCCCCCATTAATTTCCACCCCTGCAGCCTGCACCAAGCAGCAGAAAAAGCAGCAGAGGAGCTGGGTCCCCTGCGCCTTCAGCTTGACGGCTGCGATGAGCCTGGGTCTATTTCCCCTGACCCGCCCTGGCACCTCTAATTATGATTAATGGCTGTGATCGTTATCTGCTTGACTCCGCTCCCGCGCGGGGACCAGCGCCGGCAGCGCCGAGCGCCCGGCGCCGCGCTGACACCCCTCATCGATCACGGCCGCGCGCTCGCCGCGAGCAGGGAGAGAAGGCGCAGGGAGGGCTCGCCTTGCTCCGGAGCGGGAATCTCCCAAGGGATATAAATAAAGGGGCTGAAAGGTCCCCGAAGCCCCTTACGATGCCCTGTGGCATCTGTGCTTCCCAGCAGGGCTGGAGGGAAGGTGAAGGGGCAGAGGATCTTTTGACCCCAGTGTACCCAGTTAAAGGCCAAATCTTGAGCAATTTGTGGCTGAAGGCCTCTAAACTTGCCCAGCCTTCCCTGGCCGCAGAAATCAGGATGTCGAAGGGATTAAACATCTGCTTTCACCCATGAGAGGCTGCAGGCAGGAGGGAGCGGGACAAGGTATCACATCAAGCGAATCCCTGTCGCCTCGAGCAGAGCTGCCACAATCCTCATCTTTCCAAGACCTTCCTTCCCTCCAGCCCTTCACATGGACAGAGCTGGACAGTGTTTAAGCTGCTTTATATTTTCCCCTAATATCTGAGCAAGAGGACAAGCACTTAAGCTTTACTCTGCTTAAAGGCCTCTGAGAAAGGCCCTAATGATCGGGGGGAAATAAGGGCAGGAGTCCTGGTGCGCAGTCCAAAGGGCTCTCGAGCATTTGAGCTTAGTTCTAAAGGACTGCCCGGGCTCATGATGAAGTGCAAGGTTATGCTGGACTTTATAACAATACAGTCATGACAATATGCTAATAAATGCTGATTTACATTAGATGAAAGCTGGGAAGAATAACACCCGAATGCATTAATTAATGTGATTAGGAGGTGTTTGAAAAATGAAAATGCAAAGTAGAAGATATAAGTAGCAAGGACATTTCAGGAGGAGGAGGCTTTGAAGCTCTTCCTGGGGAGATGCGCACGGATTCGCACACGAGCCCGGTTCCACCAGGTCGCATCAGGATGTGCAGGGAAATCACTGATTTGATGTCAGTGCTTGAGAACAGCCCCTCGCTGCTGCCCAGAGCCTTGCAAAGAGGAGACAGGAGCTAAGTGGGGCTGTCTGGTGCCAGCCCGGTGTGCAGTGATGGGTGGGGATGGCAGTGCTGGGAATCCAGGGCTGTGACTGAGCAAGCCTGAACTGGCTCCCCTGGGAGCAAGAGGAGCCCCCTGCTCCAAGCGTTTCTCCCACAAGTGGCCTGCATTTCTGCAGATGTTATGAGAGCTGCTTCCCTCTTCAGAGCAGTTTGCACTGAGAAACCTGTGTTTCCTCCCAAAAAACCAGCACCACACCAGAGCTCCTGCTCCATCACAAGCAACAGCCTCCAGCCATGAGTGACCATGGTGGGGTGAGAGCCCCAGGGCGGGACAACGGGGGACCCCGGCCGGCAGGACAGGGGTGTCACAGCCCCTGCCAGTGCCGGGCTGTGCCGCGGGCCAGGGCACAGCGGTGACCGAGCCGCTAAGCGCTGTGCTGTACAACAAACCCTGGCCGCACCGCAGTTTGTCAAGGTGGGATCCAACCGCCCGGCTGGGAATTCACAGCCAAACGCCTCTCCCCACTGCAAAACTTGGGCTTATTGTAAATACGCCGGCAGCTCTTGAAGTCACTTACTGCACTGTCCACATGCATCTCCTCCAGGAGCCTCTCCCTGAGGAGAGCATCAGGGCTGGCTCTTGGTGCCGGGCGGCAGCTTTTCCCCAGGAAAGGAGCAGCTTTTCAGGGGGGATCTTGAATCAGCGAGCTGACAGCCGGGCCCCTTCTCCTGCCGCTGCTCTTTTCACTATGGATGTTATTTTACCCCCAAATGCTCCAAGCCAACGTTTCCTCCGCTCCCCTCTCCGGTTCTACAGCTCACGTGCATCAAACTTATTCTTCAACTGCTGAATTGGGGCTGATTCTTCTTTTCTGACGTGGGAACCTTTTGTGCTGACATTTGCAACCTGAGATGCAGACTGTCACTGCTTATTTTTTAAACAAATCATTCTTGCCCCTAATCACCTGCCTGCAGCAGCTGGAGGTTCAAGGGAGCATTGCCCAGTGGCAGCAGCCCCTTTGCAGACTGCGAGGGCGAGAGACCTGCTCCCATTCACCAGTTCAGCACCTGTGCCTTGAGTCCTGTGATTAGATGAGAACTGCTCTGAAACAACATCTTGAGGCTCCTTATTGATGTGAGCTAAGAAATGATGCTTGAAGCTGCCTGCAACAAGAGACCCATCTGGGCAACCTTGGAGATGGAAATCTCCAGTTCTGTCTTCTTGTTCTGGTGGTTGTTCTCCTCTTGTCTTTGAGAACCTTCAGCTAGAAATTAGAGTATCAAATGGGTGACTGCAGGTACCGTGACCCCATGCAGCCGCTGCCTGGCTTTGAGTGAACACCAGCTAGGAAAGCAGGTGCTAAGGGCTCGAGACAGCAGGACAATGAGCAGAGATCCCCTTGGGGAGCAGAGGTCCCTCCGCAGCAAAGCGAGCGTCCTGCCCCCTCGCCGTGGGCTGCAGTGACTGCTCAGGCAGCCTTGCTTGGCCCATTTCAGACCAGTTTCCCCAGACTCTGCAATTAGCAGCCCTCACGGGGCGCTGGTAGCTCATGCCAATGTTTCATGCAAGGCTTCTTGCTCCCGTGACAGCAAGGGCTTCTCCCCATCCTACACCTCTCATCAGAGGAGCCGTGTGCTCTGAAGCAGCTGCTTGCTGACAGCGCTGCCGTGCACTGGCGGGTGCTCTGTGGGGACAGGATTCCCTGAGCCGCTTTCAACAAAAGGTGCCTGCTCCCCGCACGGGCACATGCCAAGGGGAGCACCCCCTTGAGCACAGCGGGGACGGCTCCTCGCAGCTCTGACCCTGCCCGTCTTCCCCACCAGAGCCCAGGGCTGAGCTCCTGACAGAGCCTCCCGACACGCTGCTGCCCTCTTTGCCGTGATAAATGCTCAGCAATATCCTGGGCTGTCACAGCTCCAGATTGAAGTGTGGAGAAAAAGACCCTGAAGCCACATCCCTTGATCTGTCAAGGCAGGATTTTAGCTAATGGGCTATAATCATTATTCAGCACTTTGTCCTCTTACATCTGTCTCTGCTCCCTTTCCCGCTCTCAGCAGCGGAGCAGACTGGGAAGATATTTGCCCCAGGATGGCTCACACTTATCCCCAGCAGAAGCAAGAAGTGCTGGCAACAGCCCCAGCTGCTTTTGGCAGGTATTAAAGGCTCACGGTTCAAACAAAAGTGCTTTGACTTGCTGTTCCCCTCCTACCTTGATGAGAAAGAGGCTAGACGTGGTTTAGGGGAGCCTGGGGGATCAAGGCACATCTTGGCTGGCCTCATCCTCTCTTCACTGCTCCTGCAGCATGGACCACCCTCCTCTTGGTGGGTGATGGAGAGCTAAAGTCTGGATGAAATCATGAGGGCATCGGGGAGAGAGCTGAGAACCGAAATATCTTTCCATGATGGTCATGACCACTGGGCATCCTTTCCCTATCAGAGCTGTTCAGGGGCTCCAGGTCTGCACATTCCTTGTATTGACTCCAGAGTTCAAATCCTGCCTGTATTTGGACAAGAAGAGGTCATGAATTGTCCAGTTCTCCATTCCTTTGAGAAGGTATTTGCCCGGAAATAGGCAATTCTTGCTCTTTGCATGTAAATCATGGACACACATGATTTTTCCTCAAATCTGCTTCTTTGCCCCCAAAGCCAAAACCCTGCCTGTGGGACCACTCCCTTGCCCAGCAGCAGGAATGCAGGGCTCGGGGCTCAATGCATGCAGAAAAGCAGAACAAAACAACAGCAGTTCAGCAAAGCGCTCTGCAAAATCATCCCACTTCATCCAAGTCACGTCCCGGAAAAGTTCAAAAAGAAATGGAAAAATCTCCCCAAACCACATGGACCAGTTTCTAAGGGAAAGATTTTGATTCAAAGTGACTGCTCCTTTGGAAATTTCCTCCTGCTGTAGGAACAAAAATGCCTTTCTAAAGAAAAAAATGCAGAAACAAAGCTCAGATCAGACCCAAACCACGTAATGGAAGCAGACACCATCCCCCCGCCACGGCTGAACTGACCACAGACAAATCGTTTCAGGTCAGTGCAGAACAACACAGGCTCTTCCCAGGGAGCGCACAGCAAAGGAGAGCTGGCAAGAAAAAAGAAATGAATCAATTAATGTCACCGTTGTCATTAGGAGAGCCCTTGGGTGCTCAGCTGGGCCGCAGAGGCCAGGGCCACTCGTGGCACAGCAGAGCTCAGTGGGTCACGCGAGGCTCCGGAATGCTCTGGGAACATCCCAGCCCAACCTTGCCGAGGTGCACAGGCATAGCCGGGATCCCATGAAGATGGCGTTGAAGGGGATGAAGCTCCTTTGAAGCTGGTTCCAGTGGCATCTTCCCAGTGAGACGGTGCCTGGCAAAGCTGGACGGCGACTCTGGTCACTTCCCAGGGTGATGCAGCTGGGAGCAAGCGAAGGGTGGCCAGGTGGCATCCACCAGGCTGAGCATCTCCTGGGTGGCCTGTGGACTAACACGAGGACTTGGCTGGATTAGAAGGGCTTCAGATTAGGCCCGAAGTCCTCTCTTTGGGCTCCTGTTGTTAGGATAGAGAAGCAGAGTCAGGATTGTGAGAAGGTAGCAGAGAAAGGTGAATTCCTGCAGCTGCTGGAGCCACCTCAGAGCACGAGTGGTCACATCACCTCTCGCACTCAAGGACACCGGCTCTGGATTCAGCAAGCTAAAGGCGCAGCATCCACCCTTCTCTCCATGTCCTCTCCCGCTTCACACCCACCTGTAAACCTATTTCTCCATCTCAGAGTAGGCAGAGAGTTGACACTTACTAATGACAGGGAAACCATCTCTGTAGACGGGACTTAACGAAGGTGTCGGGAAGGCATTAAAACCAGAGCAAACACCTTCCCTGGAGGTGAGACAGCCACAGCAGCATCAAGCACAAACCCCTTACAGACGGGAGAGACCAACTTTTGGGGGAGAGGCCCTTGAGCGACGATGAAACGCAGCGTTTCACACACAACGGCTCTTTCCCTAGATGCCAACTGCAGGAAGCTGCAGACACAGCCCGGGCGCCCTCCCTCTACACATGCACTCACCAGGGTGCTCCTTCGGCAAGGACCAGCAAGCTCCTTGGGTGCTCCAGCTGGCTCTTGGGTGCGTGGGGGTGCTGGACGTGCTGGGGCCTCGAGCGCACACAGCAGCTCATTGCCTGGCCAAGAGCGCGGGAGAGCTGAATCCGGAGGTGGCAAATTCAATAATCCCTCAGCCATCCCAGCACAGCCTCTGCAGCAAGACTTTAATACACTTATCTTTACCACAATAATGTATTTTTTTTTCCAGTGCACATTCATTATTCACACACTTATTTCCCCAAGGATTATGTTTGTTGCTGGAGCTGTTCTCCTGCCTTATTTTCACCATGTCGGCTCTGGTATCTTCTGATTTTTACAGCATTGTCACCTGTAAACAGGCTTCTATTTAATCACCAACCTAATAATACGGCTCAGTGGAGATGTCAGGAGCAGGATGCTACTTTGCTTCCCAAGTCCATCAATTGAAAAGGATCAGCCGGTGGCAGGCGAGCAGCCTGCCTGCCATGAGTCTCCTTGCAACCCAACCAGTTGCTTGAACAGGCTGCTGTGCCTCAGTTTCCCAATTCTGCAGCAATCCCCCCATTGCAGTTGTGCTGTATGCACCCTGAATGGTTTCAAACTGCTCAGGCACTCCAAAGGATGGCACAGCAAAGTGAGCCAGGAGGAAACAGGTGGTTCTGCCACTGAAGTAGGCAGGGAGCAGGAAATCAGAGCAGGGATGACTCAGTGCAAGGACCAAAATCGAGTAGCTGCTCTTTAACCAGGGACTTCCATGTGAGCAAGGGAGTGCCAGTGTAGCAGGATGAGTAACATCTGCTTTGCAGCATCAGGCCAGGCTTGCAAGGCTGATCTTTGCTCAGCAGGGCTGCGTTACTGTGGCTTCAGCAGCTCTGTTTCCAGCATTCCCAAATTTCCAACTTCTTGGTGTCTTAAAGTGAAGAGCATTCCCTTAGCGTGGGTTTCCTGTGAGTCAGCTAATCGCACACCATTACCCAGTGCACACAAACACTCAGAGACCAAGGCTCAAATACTCACAACGCTGCTGCTCCGCGTTCCCCCGCGCACGGGCACATCCCCGCGCTGACAGAGGCATCAAGGCACTGCGCTCCCCAACAGCCTATTTCTGAGTCAGATCTTGACTGTTTTCGCAATTCCAGCATTGTGGAGCACAAGGATTTAATCATCTTGCTTCGTTTCACTGGAAGAGGGGGTTATTTTACACCAAAGGATGTGAGGACTCAGGTTTGCATTCAAGCCTTTCCACATCAGAACACAGCAACACAAAACACTTGCAAGCTGCAAAATAGCCCCAAAACAGAGCAAGATTCTACTTAATTTTCCCCAAAACATTTTCTAGGGCTGAGATTAGCTGCACACTGGATTCAGGACTGCTCCTTCCACCCAGAGCCTTGCCCGCAGTTGCTCTCATCCAGGACCCTCAGTGCAGCCTGCGGTGCTCACGCGGGACCCCTTACCCAGGTGTTATCTCCCCACGTCCCCATGCTCAGTCCTGACCCAGGATGGAGTCAGCAGGGCCACGCAGGACAGGACACCCCAGGGCCTGGGAATGGCCCATGCACAGGTGGCCTGGACACTTGTCACGGCCACCGCTCCCACGGGGTTAGCACTACAAAGCTGCTTCACTTCTGACCCCTCCACAAAACAGGCTCCTCGCAGCCATCCTGGGGCTCCACAGCATCTGCAGGGCCGCACTGAAACACCCCATTAAGCAGTGCAAGAGTCTGGGCTCAGGATGCTGCAAGTGTTGCTTAGGAGCAAAAAATGAATATATATATATATTTTTTGCTTAAATCTCATTTTTACCCCCTAGCAAGCACTCCCAATCACCTACCTACCACACGGCAGCAGCTGGGCCAAACTTAGGGGCTGATGGGGCCATCCAGGGGTCTCCCACGTGGCTGAAGGACCCGTCACACTTCACACAAAGGCCCACGGCTCCTGTGGGAAGGTTTGCTGGGCAGCACCAGGAGACTCAGGGCTCCGTGTGGGCATCCTGGGAACAGTCCTTGGATGCAGCTTCCTGCAGAGAGCTGCCGCAGCTGGCGGCATCACTGGCGGCCCCCGTCAGCTCCCCATTTAACGTGTTGAACTCCCCAGAAACAAAAAAACATGTATTTTGTTCCCTTTAAGCCTTGCTTTCTGAGGAAAAGAAGCTTCTGCAATCACACACCGCATGCCACAAATGATTATTTCTTCTCTCAATTTTACAGTTTATCAGCCAATTTCAGCCAAATCTGACAGTAATGATAGGAATTTGAGAAGAATTACTTTGCAACAGACTTGGGAGAGTCCACAGCCTTGCAGAGGAATGAGGTGTAATTGGTGGTCCTGCAGAGGAAAAGGTTGTGTGGGAATGCGGTCCTTACTAGGCATCAGAGAATCTACACGAGATTGAGCCCAAGTCGCATCACACCTGATGAAACACCCGAGAACTCACCAGAAAGGAAAAGCCAGCTGGGAAGAGGGTACCAAGATGTCCAGCAGGGCAAGTTCACAAAAGGCAGCTCTTTTCCCTGCCCAGGACATTCAGATCACCACTCCCCTGTGTGGATTCTCTGGTGCCTCTTACATGGTTGTGCCAAGAAAGCTGCATGGCTAGCCAGCTGTGCAAGGAGAGCCCAGGAAAAGCAGCTTTGCAGGAGCAAACGTCAGGCCACAGGCTGCTGTTCTCATCCCACATTTTAATTTTCCTTCCTGAAAACAACCTCCCAGCCTGCAGCAGTCCCAAAGCTACCTCCGGGGCTCGTTGTTTTGCAAAGCAGCAGCAGAAGCGACAACTCCAGCTCCAGCACAGCCACATGGGCCACAGGTTTGCACTTAAATGAAATGACCTAAATGGGTTTTATCTGTAAAAATACCCCAAAATGCAGCTCGCAGCCCCAGCTCCTCATATCCACAGGCCTTTGGTCACAGAGGAGGTGACACCAGCCCCGGCACAGACATTGCTGTGCCTGCACTTGGGGGCTGATGCACTGTTCCTGCCGTTTCCATTTAGTTCTGACTGGGGCCACAGAAGCGTTTTACACATTTCACCTTAAAATATCACTTCTTAAACATGGAATCAAGCTGAAAGTCACTATTACAGCCAAGTACTCCGCTCCAGCCCTGCAATGTAAATACCAATTTGAATCCTTAGGAGACTTAATAGCAGGGCTTACTCCAAACCTAAACTTTAATCTGCCTGACAGAGTGGGTTTTTTTCCTTATAAAAAAATTATTTGTCTTAAGCAAAGAGTGCGAGAGTGCCTGTTTGAGGTAAAGAGGGTTTTCCTGCTCCCCCACCAAACCGGAGCAAGGGAGCAGGACACTTTTCCAGGCTGTGGAGCTGCATCTCCACCATGGGGTCTGGGATGCTCCTCTCCAGGCGAGTTCTGCAGGGGACAGAGGACAACAGCATTTCAGCGGCCAGCACACAAGTTGGGTGAGAAATACAGTATTTCGGTCTGTCTCCCAAATCACTCCTATAACACCCATATCAGCTCATGACAAAGGTTTCATTTGCTTCTAAGATTAGAAGTTTCCTTTTCCTCATGCCCCTTACTGCAATATTTGTAATAGAAACTCTTCTGCCTGACACTTTTTGCCTCCTTCAGCAGCAGGTTTTTGCAACAAGGAAGCCTGGCTGCCAATAAGGAGCATTGTGGCATAGGGACAGAGCAAGGACCATGCAGTGCTGCTAAAGCAAAGCAGGGCCTGGTTAATCCCACAAGGAAAGCAGGATACCCAGCTGGGTGCTTTTATTCCCCGCTCCCAGAACCAATTTTCTTCAGCAAAAGACTAGATAGGGGATGAACCCAAGTGTAGATGGGACAAATTCAACAGTTCTCCCCCCAAGCAGGACCCAGCCATGGCCAGACCCTCACAGCCTCCACTCGTGACTCTTCTGCTGGGTTTTAACCTGCTTATTTGAAAAGGTAAAGCAGAAGGAGCAGAAAAAATAAACACAAATTATGGTGCTGGAATGCAGCAGAGCACAGGGAAACCAGCACAGCAGAGAAATGGGTGGGAATGAAATAAATTAAAGGCAGAAATAGTCAATGTTATAGGAATTATTTAAAATGCTGAAGACATAAAAAGGGGGGGAAGGAAGGGGGGCAATGAGCCCTCTCTTGGGGGGACATGAGGGAGAAAGTAGGCCATTTGCTAAACAATAAAAGGGATGAAGCGGATGATGACTCTAAAATGGCTGGGATGCCCAACAGCCCTCAGAAACCTGCCTTTATTAGGAGAAATGTGGAAAAGTGGTTTGGACAATTAGGAAGTAACAAAGGCTCAAAAGCAGCTCCAGGGGGAAAAGCCACAAGTGGGGAAGCTGGAGCCCGGGAGCGCTCTGATAGCACATTAAGGGATTAAGGTCTCCAGCAGCCGCAGCCACACGGGATAGAGGGGAGCCAGGAGCCCCAGCACAGGCACCCATGGGTGCCGGCCCCACCACCCTCCCGGGGTGCTGCTCCCTTTGGGAGGAGCAGGAGGCTCTGGGAGGGCACCAGGACCAGCTCTGGAGGAAAGCAGGAGAACTCAGCCCCACACACGGGGTGCAGCACCCCAGCCCTGCACCCCGCTCAGTGCAGGGGCAGCCATGGGACACGAGCCCCGCACCCTGGCAGCGGCCAGGCCCACTCCTATTTCGTCAGTGCTTTTTTCACAGATCACAAATCACTCCTAAATTACACAACGTGCAGCAAGACCCAAGCGCTGCTGGCAGCCCAGAAACAGCTCGACCCACCGCCCGCAGCCCCAGAAGGCTGCCAAAAATAAGCCTGGTACCAGAAGCGGTGCTGGCGCTGCCTTTCCTGCCCCAGATACAGGAGCAGGCGGGCTCAGCACTTCAGAAGCACTTTGTGCTTTGCAATCCTAACCCCAAAAGAAGGAACTTCAGCCCCACATTAACCTACCTCCTCTCAGGGGCCCAAACCCAGCCCATGGCCCTAGGGCCCCTTTTATGCAGAGCTCAGGCCAGCCCAGAAGTGCCCTGATCGGGCCAAAGTCCATCACCTGGGAGGCACCTAAACACATCCAGGTGAGGCTCAGCTCACCTGCCCTTCAAGGACTGGTTTTCCTTGGAATGGCCCTTGCCCTTCCCAGAATGAAAAGAACAGGGGAGGGGAAAAAAAATAAAGAGTCAAAGATGGCAATAAATGAGGGAAAGTGCTTCTTGGGGGCTTTCGGAGCAAGTGCTGAGAGACAGAAGGGGAAGACTGTGCTGGCTTCCTCCTGTGCCTCTTCAAACGCTGCTAGTTTCAAAGCCATGTGGTCCCTGTCACCTCCTCCATCCTGGAGAGGAGACAGAAACATCCCTGGCTCCGGAGCAGCTGCTCCAGGTTCCTCCTACCCACCGTTCCCTGGCTGGGGCTAGTGAACTGGGGACGGCCCTGGGATCTCGGGTGAATCTTTTGATGACCCAGCCTGGGATTTGGGGGGAAAAGAAGGAATGCAGCTCCCAACTCACCCTGAGCACTCACCCTTCCTCTCCCATTGCAGCAGCCAAAGCAAATTCCCTCCACTGACTGCTGCTCCCAGTTGGTTTCATGGGGGAAAAGATTCACTGATCCCAAACATCTCCCCTGGATGAGCTGCCCCAACACTGAGCACAACCAGGGGGAAAAGGAGGGACAGCCAGTTCCTGTCCTGCTGCTGCTGCACGCGTTGATCTGCTGCTAAGTCTTGTTCAAATGCAGGACGGGGAGAAAAGCAAACACTGCCCAAGGCTCCTCGGGTGGCAGCGGGACAGAGAAGGGCTTGGATCTGACCTGGTTCCAAATTCTCTCCTGAATCCATGTTCAAATCCCCTCACAAAGCAGCCCCCAGCTCTCCTGCCAACGGCCCAGGTTGCTGCATCAGAAGACAGGTCTGCACTGCATTGCTGGAAGGGCCACCAGGGAGGCAGCCCAAGTCTAATTCCTGCAAGGAGTTAGCAATCAGGGATGTAATTTTTCTTTTCCAGAAAACTGTTTATCTTTTACATGTTCTGCCCCCAAGGCATTCAGCTGTCTATACAGAGTAAGGGATGGCCACAAAAACCAATGAGGATGCAGAAATAGGACCATGAGAATAAATGGTGTTCCAGGAAAGGCAGACTGGGCTGTATCAGCTCTATTAATGCAAAAACTTTGAGGAGAAAACTCTCTGGTCTGCATGGGAGAAACAGATGAAGGACTTGGCCACATTTCTTCAGTCCATCTCTCACTCTGCTGCAGAACATCCTGCATGCATCCAGGCTTCCCAAGAGCTCTGGCTTGGGGCTCTCCATCCATCAGCTGCCTGAGCCAGGCCAGTGCATGAGCGCAGAAGTCCCCAGCCCTCACAGAAGGACTTGCTGGGGTGACAGCTCCCTCTCCACCTTGAGCCCAGCTCAGATCTCTAGATGACTCAGGACTACATGAAGCAAAGGGGATCCAGAGCTGTCATCCTGTGGTGGGATTCCTTGGCTCGGGATGCAGCCCTTGGCAAGAGGAATGTTGCTGGCCACAAGCCATGCAAGCACAGATTGGTGTCTAGTACCAAATGCCATTGCTCCATGAGGAAAAAAAAATGATACACTCAAGTAGAACAGGGAAAATTGGCAAAACACCACAAAACCTGAGGCTCTCAGCACAATGAAAAGCTGGCATTGGGAGGAACTTGCCAGAAGCGCTTGAATGATGTGGACCTGGCAGAGTATTTGAGTGCCTGGTGGGGCAATGTGTCTCACACAAGACAGAGCCTGTAACACCAGGACAAGATACAAGATCACCTGGAGGGCCTGCAAGGCGGATCCACTCTGGAAACATGAAGGGACCTCAAGTTTGTTCTCTTCATGGCAGTGAACATCTGATGTCCACATCTAATGTCTTTGGGGGAACACGGCAGGCCATGGCCTGTGTCCCTCTGGGCAGCAATAGTTAGTGATGGAGGCAATAACACGTTTGCAGGTGCAGGACATCAGTATCATGGTGCATTGCAGGGAAGGCTTCACAAAAGCAGGTCCCAGTCCCATCTTGAAGCACTTACGTGGGGCCACTGCCACCCCTGGATGAGCCAGGTTGCTGGGGAGGTGACATGTGTGTCCCCTCATGTTCCCTGTGAGCCTCAGTGTCCCTGCCCTGCCATGGCACTGCTGGGACCACAGAAACCACCCCAGGGCCAAGTGACAGCGACTGCGTTGCCTCGTTAGCGGCAACGTGATGTCTTTAGGTAGGACGAGTTTAAATGCAGATTAGGCTTTTTTAAGAAAACCAGGGATGGGAGTGGGAGGCAATAAAGGTCTTCCTTCACACCTTTTCCACAGCAAGTCTTCCCAGACACATGAATAAAAGACTGAGGCTGTAAACAGGGGGAAAGAAGGATATTTGTTTCACTCAGAATTTCATTTCTTTCCTGGGGGAAATGGTACTGGTCCCTGGTCCCTCTTCAGTGGCTTGGGCCAGTCTGCAGTAGCCAGGTCCTGCTCAGAGCTAAGGCTCTGCATGGGGACAGTCTCATGGTCCCTAGGCTGTGGAGCTGGGGATGATACTGCACGGGAAAGGATGGAGATGAAGCTGGTGCTGAGGCGCCAGGTTGGTGTTGGTGCTTGCCCCTGGTGGGAGCCCTGTGAATGAGCACTTGCTAATTCCCTTCTAATTTGCATCAAAATGTGGCAGTGCAAGGCTGGGACCACGGGCTGTGGGACTCCCTCCTGCAGGAACCTCTCCTGTGGCTTTTCAAGGTGAACTCCATTTGCTCCTGCATGAAAAGGCCATGCTGGAAAATTCTGCCTTTGCCTTGGAGAGGA